CGTGTGTGAGGGTGTGAGTGCATGTGTGAGGGTATGAGTCTGTGTGTGAGTCCGTGTGTGAGGGTGTGAGTGCATGTGTGAGGGTATGAGTCTGTGTGTGAGTCCATGTGTGAGGGTGAGTCCATGTGTGAGGGTGTGAGTGCATGTGTGAGGGTGTGAGTCTGTGTGTGAGTCCGTGTGTGAGAGTGTGAGTGCATGTGTGAGTGTGTGAGTCTGTGTGTGAGACCGTGTGTGAGGGTGTGAGTGCATGTGTGAGGGTGTGAGTGCATGTGTGAGTGTGTGAGTCTGTGTGTGAGTCCGTGTGTGAGGGTGTGAGTGCATGTGTGAGGGTGTGAGTCTGTTAGGATATAAGTCTGTATGTGAGTGTGAGTCTGTGTGTGAGTCCGTGTGTGAGTCTGTGAGTCCGTGTGTGAGGGTGTGAGTGCATGTGTGAGGGTGTGAGTCTGTGTGTGAGTCCGTGTGTGAGGGTGTGAGTGCCCGTGTGTGAGGGTGTGAGTGCATGTGTGAGTGTGTGAGTCTGTGTGTGAGTCCGTGTGAGTCCGTGTGTGAGGGTGTGAGTCTGTGTGTGAGTGCATGTGTGAGGGTGTGAGTCTGTGTGTGAGTGCATGTGTGAGTCCGTGTGTGAGGGTGTGAGTCTGTGTGTGAGTCCGTGTGTGAGGGTGTGAGTCTGTGTGTGTGTCAGTGCTCAGAAAGCCAAGTGAGGACGAAGGTGACACCCCAGAGGGCATCAGGAAGTGATGTGGAGCTTCGCGTCCCCGCCCTCACCTGAGGTGTCGTCTGTGCCAAGACAGCGCATCGCCGAGAGCCTCTCGAACGCCAGGACGCCACCGAGAACACCCGCAGCCCCGCAGCCGCCTGGCGCAGCTGTGGCGCAGGCCCAGGGCGCGGGGCACGGCGGGACGCCACGCTGCTCGGGACGCCACGCTGCTCGGGACGCCACGCTGCTCGGGACGCCACGCTGCTCGGGACGCCACGCTGCTCTCGCCACGCGCCCCGCCCCCCGCCCCCCGCCGCGCAGAGACGTAGAAACGAAGGCGGGAGGAGCAGGCGCCGCTGTCCCACCGTCCCGGGAGAACAGGAAACAGGAGCAAGTGACGCAGGCGCAGACGGCTCTCAGCACAGCACCAGCCAACAGCCGCAGCCACACTTGCACCCGCCGCGGCCCCGTGCGCGTGCGCGGGGCGTCCTCGCTCCCCCGCGGGAGGGTCCTCCGAGGTCCCTCGTGGTTGGTCGGGCGTGCTGACAGCTGTGCTGACAGCTGCACTGGGACACCACACAGGTGAAGGCCAGAGCTGCGTCCCAGGCAGAGCCAGGGGGACCCACAGCTGACCGCGACAGGGAACACAGGGCTGACACCCGGACACACCCCTGGCTGGCTTGGGCTGGCCGCACCCTCCTAACGTGATTGCCCCTCCTGGCTGGGACACAGAGAACACTGGCTCTGGAGCCAGCGATGGGCCCTTCAGGAGAAAAGCACTTTTCCCGTGTAGGAGTCAGCACGGTGCTCAGCCAGCAGTTGCGTCACACGCAGGCGGCACATGGGGATGCCAGTCCACAGCCACGTGCCCACAGAGCTGTGTTTCCAAACAGGGACGGCAGCAGAGGAGGAAGCATGTTCCTTTCCCGGCAGCCTGACGGCCTTCCCACGGCTGTGCCCGGATCCCCGACATCCTCTTCTCCAAGATCTCAGCCCGGACGGCAGCGGACACCCTCCCGCAAAGCCCCAGGAGTAGGCAGCCCTGGCTGGTGGCAGGCTGAGGGACAATCGCTCACCGCGAGGACAGCAGGGAAGGCGAGTGTCACACTGGAGCACTGTGAACTGAGCAAGCCGCACCCATCCGCCACCCTCTCTGCAGCGGACCACACCCATTGTTGAGCTCCCACCGACTCACGGTCACCTCCTCACAGCAGCCCGGGACCAGGTAACCACGTCAGATTGACTAAACATCTAACCGGCCAAACAAATGAATTGGCCAGACAATGAAACATCAAAACCACCAGACAACTGAGCACTGAACCCCCAGCGGCTGTCTGAGTGACAACTGACCACCATGTCCACAGCCTGCCTGGCTCTGCGGCAGGCCCCTCCCGTCCCTGTCGAGTTGCCGGGTCTGCAACCTCTTCCAGCTGCTTCTCCCTGAAGGCAGAGCTTTCTACTTGGCCAAGAGACGGGTCCTCTACAAATGCCATTTCCCTGGTAGCCTCCAGGCAGGAATAGGGCTGCTATGGACGTGCACACACACAGCACAAACACACACATGCACTCGCACACACGGCATATACACACACGCGCACTCACACACAAAGTGCACTCACACATAGCACATACACACACATGCACACTCACACACACGGCACATACACACACACTCACACACAGCATATGTACACACGCGTGCTCACACAGCACATACACACACGTGCACTCACAGCACATACACACGTGCACTCACACACAGCACATACACAGCACTCACACACACAGCATACATTCACGTGCACTCACACAGCACATACACACAAGTATGCTCACACACAGCACATACACAGCACTCACAAACACAGCACATACACACATGTGCACTCACATATGGCACATACACACAAGTGCACTCACACACAGCATATGGACACACGTGCGCTCACACACAGCACATGGACAGCACTCACACACACAGCACATACACAGCACTCACACAACCAGCACGCTCACCTACGTGCTCACTCGGCAGTGCAGACACCCACGTTACCTCCCTGTCTGTGGTCACAATGCCACAGCCAGGGGCAGTGCCGGCTAAAAAGCAGGGCCAGTGACCAGTGTGGGGAACGGGAGGTGTGAGGGGCGGGTGTGCAGCCAGACAGAGCCAGCAGTTCCAGGGCCAGACGGCGAGCTGCCAGTGAGTGTCTCTGCTCCCCTGTGGCCCACTGTGTGACCAGGACCAGACTTTCCTGCCTCCCTTCCAGGGCCTGGCCCTACACAGCCCCTTGCAGGCTCTGGCCCTGTTCTGGGCACTTTGCCCCAACTCCGAAGCCATGAACACCTCCAAACGTGCTTCTACAATGTGCCTGGGGTTCAGCCAAACTGCAGTACGATCAGTTCCCCCACAGGAACTTCCCTGAACCCTGTCCCAGCACCAGACACTTGCAGAGACATTTTCGGAAACTGCATGAAGTCTCTTGGGCTGAGACACCACCTAGAATCTCTTGGCTCATAAAATACATTTCTGACAAACTGTGTATAAATCAATATATTGACTCCTACGCCTGACTGCTTCTCAGGCTTTGCCTGAGAGGGCCCTGGAGCACCCAAGACCATCTGGAGAGGAAATGCTGCAGTTGAAACAATCCCCCCACAGCTGGGCCCGCACCTGGCCGCACCCTGCCCCGCGCAGGTGGGAAGAAGGGGCCGTTCAGCCCACTGCAGCTCCAGGGAGGGCCTGTGTCCTCACACACTGCACGGGGCGCCCTGCTGAGCCCACTGCCACCCACACTCCGCTCCCAAGAGCCTTACGCAGCGATGGAGATGTTCGCGGCAGACATGGGGCTGACTTCGGCCACTTCTTTGGCCTTTTGCAGAGCAAGCTTTTGATTGGCTGCTTCTTCCATCTCCTCTTCGTCCTGTTTGAACAAAGAGAAACGTCCAGGTGCCCGGCAGAGTGCCGCGGCCATTCTGACGCCATCAGCTCTTCTTCCTGGAGCCGCCACGTCCCTCTTGCCCTTGGTACTGTGGGGCCAGGCGGCCAGCCCCTGCGTTAACACAGCCCACCCGTGACCCTGCACTGAGCACCTTCCACACAGTTCCTCTCTGGCACCCTGAGGGCTTCTCCTCTCTCCACGTCTGCCCTCAAGGTAGCAGCCCCCCAGATCCTTGCTCAGCACCATCCCCCAGGGTGCAGACAAGGCCCCGTCTGGGCTCGCTCTCCAGCCTGACTCCTGCACTCTAGCCCAGGGTTCCGCCCACCGCCTGGACATTTCTTCTTGCTTCTCCTGTGGCATCTGGAACCTGCCCAATGCAACTATGTCCCTCCGTTTGTCCCACCTCCCCTCCCAGGGACACTTGTCACACTTGAACAGAGTGTCCTCTCCTGAAGAGCCATGAGCAGGGGCAAGGGACAGAGCTCTGCACCTGGGGCTGGGTCCTGGCTCAGCAAGAGTATGTCCAGTGGGCCCACGTGCCACCTTTGAACTTTCCCACCTGGACTTACCAAGCACGTCTGTCTACCTGTGCCCAGCTGTAACTGCGGGAAGCCCTTGCCTGTCTCCCCGACACTTGGATGGCCACTTGCAGAGCCTGGCCCTGTGCTCCACCTGGCGTTTGCCACTGGGGTTGGGCACGTGAGCAGATACCTGTCCTGCCTCTGGCCCCTGCCTGGGAGGGGAACGGACAACTAGACAGACCCTCTGGCCCTGACCCCAGGTCACTGAACAAAACCAACGTGCTCTGCTCCTCGGTTCTAGACAAACAGCTCACAACTGAGCCCACAGGCCCCGCAAAGCGAGCTGAGACTTCCACGCCCTCCCTCTGGACTTCCATGCCACCCAGCCCAGGCCCACTGGGCTCCTCTGGGAGCTAGCACTCCCAATGTCCCCCAAAATGCCCTTGAATCTGCTTTTGGGGGCACAATAATGGCAAAAATTAAATCCCCTGTTAGCTGCCTCTAAACTTCCCACCCCAGAGAGACCTTCAGACTCCAGGTAGATCTACCACAGAAAACCCACACCCAGGCCCTTCCCGGACAATCTGGGCTCCATCCTGGTCATAGCCCTCTGGGGAAGGGACGTCACCAGTTACTCCAAGGACAGTTCTCAAGTCCCCTGAGAGGCCTACAAACAAATTCGACTTGAATGTATGCCCATCAGACAATAAGTAATGCTCTGTTAGTGGGCAGAGGAAGGAAAAGGCCACGTCCTGCCCTCTGGGGCTCTTGGCCAGCCCAGAAAACACTCCCAGGAAGACACAGGCAGGCCCCGATCCTCCAAGCAGGGAAACCCCGAAATCAGGGTAGTTTCCCCAAAGGTGACCCCCACTGGGGGTTGTGTATAGGGACACAGGGCCGCAAGGACACCCCCCTCAGCATGTCCTCACTCACAGTGGAGCTCAAGAAGACAGCTCCCAGCTCTCAGCCCTGGGCGCACAGCGCCTCAGCCCAGGCAGCCCCGCCGGGGGCGTGGGCCATTCTCCCATCCTGCCTGGATGGTGAGTCTTGGTGCCGGCCCAGGCCAATGACAGAAATAGGCAGAAGCCAGAGGCCGGAGCCAGGGAGAAGTCCAGACCCGCAGTGCCGTGGGAGCAAGCCCAAGCAGAAGCAAGGGGAGGCTCGGGGCGGCAGACACACAGCAGGTGGCTGTGCCCCCCTCCCGGGCTAGGGGTAAAGCAGAGACACCTGCACATACTCAGAAGCACCGTGGCACACCTGCCCACAGCACCTGCCTCTCAGCCCCAGAACAGGGAAGCCATGAGAGACTTGGGAACCACGGGGCTGCAGTGACGGAACCGTGTCAGGCAGAGCTGTGCACAGAGCCAAGTACACGCGGACAGCTGTGCTGGGACGGTGCTCTAGCAGAAGAGCACACTTGCAGTGGCATGCACACGGAAAGACTCACACACATTTGCGTGCCCAACATGCAGAGTGTGCACATAGGATGTTTGCAATGGGCGTGTGCCAGACCAGGAGGTAGCACCCTCCACACTGGGAGCCAGGGCTGGATTGACCCGCAAGCTGGAGGCCAAGATGGAGGATGGCCCGGCCAGTGTCCAGGGTGGGGGGGAAGGCGCGGGGGGGCCAGGTGGGGGCTGTGTCATCTGGAGCGAAGCCACAGAGGGAAACATGTGCAATCACATTCCTGCCAGGCTCGGGGATGAGACATGAATATCGAATGGCACCCACTGGGCGCTGCCTGAAGCAGCAGCTGCCCTGCTGTGGCATGCACAGGCCGAGACAGGCCACCAGCCAGGCCTGGCATGGGAGGGCGGCACCATGGTGTCCCCACTCTGCACTTTCGGGTCCTCAGAGCAGGGCACTCCCTGTGTACTCTTCTCTGAAGTGACGCCTCCCGCATATCACACACCTGACAGACCACTGACCCTCGACCCTCGGTCCAGCCTATGGCTCCAGCCCACCCCTCCTGCTCCCACACCCGCTCTGCCTGTTCAGGCCACCCCTCCTAGGCGGTGACTTCCCTGGGAGCCGCCCACATGTGTGTCTGCCTCCTGGCGCGATGTCTCTGGTGCTTCCTGAGCTCCACCCCACACCTCTGAGCAGCAGCCAGTCTGCCTGGGCAGGGCCCTGAGGAGACCCTCCTGGACAGCAGTCAGCACCCGACCCTGCTCGGGACTCTGTGGCCTCATCCGGAGTGACACTGCCTGACCCCACCCCCTCCCCACACACAGGTGCAGGTGGCGTCCCTGCCTACCTTGGTCAGCTCCTGGGCATTGGCGAGGTTGTCCACAGCGATGGCCAGGAAGACGTTGAGCAGAGTGTCTGGTTGGCATCAGCTAAGGAAGAGAACCTTCTGCCTGCCATGCCTTCCCACCGTCACACCAGGGCTTCCCCCAGGAAAAACAGGGCCCCCACCCTCCCAGATCCCAACCAGCTCTGGCCCCCGTCCTTGGCCCCACCAGCCCCCGGCCCCTGCCACACCCAGACACACCCAGGCCCCTGCTTGGCACCAGCCTCTCTGTGCCTTTCTCCTTCACGGGGCCTCACATCACCCAACTCCCCAAAGCCACATGGACCGTTTCCCCAACCAGCTCTTCAGGGATGACTTCAGGGCTGTGCTGCCTAAGGAGAGGGCACAGTCTGCATCTGTCCCCCCAGTTTCCAGCCTCCCGACAAACACCTGCCTGCACCGGCTACAGGTGGGGCTCCCCCACCTGTGGGCCCTGTGAGCCAAGACCACCTGGGACAGGTGTGAACACGAAAGCACACCCCAGGCCCCAGGCCTGCCTCACAGACACCTGCCCAGTGCTATCTTCTCCGTCCCGTTCCCTTCCCCACGTGGTGTCGAGGGGCCCCTCCCTGGACGTGCCCCTTCCAGAGCAGTGGGGCAACGCCAGAGCCGTGAGCACAGCAGGCAGCACAACCGGAGTGGCCGGCACCACGTCCACACCTCACACGGACCCCGGGGAGCCGGGGCCACAGCCCTCTAGAAACGAGAACGCCGGAGTGACAAGGCAGGTCCCAGCACAGGCGCAGGCCTGGGCGAGCGGCCTCTTCCTGGAATCCTTGGGACCAGCCTCTGTTCCGTCGCTGAGCTGAGTCACTGTGTTTTCCTCGCAAAGAGAACTCTTCTACTGCTTGGAGTACTTTTTTTCACATTTAATAATCTGTTTTTATTAAGAAAGAATGACACTTTCCTAAACAATCCACGCTGAGTGGTCCCCACGCTGGCAGGTTAACTCAGCCGCCCTCCACCTGCTGAGCGGGAATGGCAGCCGCCCTCCTGAGCACCAGGCCACCTGGCTCCACGCTCAGGTGAGCCGCAGTATCAGGCAGGCAGCTGCCGAACCAGCCTCTCCTCTGTCCGAAACAGAAAGGGTTTGCACCCTGAACAATGTGAAGTGGTTTCTTAAAGTTGCCTGGGCTCTGCCCTTCAGGAGGGTGACGCAGAGGTGGATTACCCTAGGGAGGAGGAGAGGCTGGGAGGGCTGACTTGCGGGGATGAAGAGTTAGACAGCTTAGATTCCTGCTGAGCCCTGCTGGCTGCCTCGGCCCTGTGCCCCCAGCAATCCTGTAGCAGGCTTTATCACCGAAGGCTGGAGTCTCACTTTCATTTCACCAGGCAGGCTACTGAGACTTCTTTTTAGCATAAATAGAAGAGGTATAAATATAAGAGGTGATCAAGAAAGTGACCACATGTTTCAAAGAACAGAACTGCAACTGACAGAACCTGCAATGTTTTGGAAAGGTGATGCTATAAGCCTTTTCCGCCCAACCTCCTTCCCCTTGACTTTACTGGTTTATGTGCTTTGAGGAGAAAGGAAGGCACGACCAATGAACCGTCACGTGGGAAATGAAGACATTAATCCCCCTGGGAAAACTTTTTTGTGGGAGATTATACAAATGTATAATCAAGGTGAGCCCAGACCAAAATGGCTTCAGCAAAGACCATTTCCGAGAGGCAATCACACAAATGTCAATATCAAAACGGAGGCTACAGGTCTATGAGGTTTGTGATCGAAGCTGTTTTGCTTTGAATTTTTGTTTGCTGAACCCAACTTGATCAATGATTAACAGGTCCCATCTGCGATGCCAAAGAGCAAGTTTTCCAGCAGCTGTTTCTGTGGGCCGGCAATACCAACAGCAAGAAAAACGACGTTGCTCAAGTAACGTCTTCAGCCCAGTCGATTAACAATGTTCAAGCACGTGCATGGGTTTTAGATCTTGTGGCCAAAGCTTTATCTTCCAGATTTTACTCTGAAGGAAGAGAAAATAATTTATTTAAAGTGGCTGAAAATGAAGGCTTCCATGAGCGTCTTTATCAGTATAGCATCAAACAGTAACTGTTGGAGTCATGAGCTGACGTGTATTAAAGCTTCTGACTCAGTCATTGTTTACTCTGTCTAGTCTGCCATTAGCCATTTGAAAGAATGATGAATAAAGCCTTAGGGCTCTGGGGGTTTTCTGCATATGCTAGATATTGATCCCCTGTCTGATGAGTAGTTTGCAAATATTTTCTTGAATTCTGTAGGTTGTCTTATTGCTGGTTTTTTCCTTTGCTGTGCAGAAGCTTTTTAGTTTGATGCAATCTTACTTGTTCATTTTTGCTTTTGCTGCCTGTGCTTTGGGGGTCTTATTCATAAAGTCTTTCCCCAGACCAATGTCCTAAGGTGTTTCCCCTGTTTTCTTCTCATGCTTTATCATTCTGGGTCTTACATTTAGGTCTTTGATCCATTTTATTTTGATGTAGAGAGGTGCATGCGGATGTCCAGTTTCCCCAGCACCATTTATGGAAGAGACTGGTCCTTTCCCAGTTGAGTATTCTTGTCAAAAATCGGTTGGCTGCGGACACATGGATCTCTGGGGTCTCGGTCTCACTGGTCACGTGCCTGTTCTCGTGCCAGTACCATGCTGCTCTGGTTACAACACGGCTCATAGTGTGATGCCCCAGCTCTGTTCTTTTTACTCAGGATTACTTTGGCCATTTAGGGTCTTTGTGGTTTCATACAAATTTTAGAATTTTATTTCTGTTTCTATGTGAAGAATATCATTGGTATTTTGATTGCATTGAATCTGCAGACTGCTTTGGGCAGTGTTGTCATTTCAACAATACCAACTGTGACCATGAGCATGGTGTCTTCCCAGCATGTGTGTCCTCTTCAATCCTTTCATCGGTGTTTTGTGGGTTCCTTAAAGAGGCCTCTCAACTCCTCAGTTAAATTCATTCCTAGGTATTTTATGTTTTTGTAGCTTTTGTAAATGGGGTTGCCTTTGTTTCTTTTTCAGCTAGTCCATTGTTTGTTTATAGAAACGTTGATTTTTGCATATTAACTTTATATCTTGCACATTTACTGAATTTTTTTATAAGTTCTAAGAGTATTTTGGTAGTCTTTAAGTTTTTCTACATATAAGATCATGTCATCCACAAACAGGGACAAGCCAACTTCTTCCTTTCCGATCTGGATGCCCTTTCTTGCTTTCTCCTTCCTACCTGCTCTGGCGAGGACTTCAGTACATGCTGGATAAGAGTGGAGGGAGTGGGTGTCCTTGTCTTGTTCCCGTTTTTAGAGGAAAAGCCGCTTTTCCCCACTGAGTAAGAAGTTAGCTGCGGGTTTGTCATATGTGACCTTTATTATGTTGAGATACTTTCCTTCTATACCTAATTCATAAATAGTTATCATGAAGGGATGTTGAATTTTAAAAGCTTTTTCCGCATCTATTGAGATGATGATGTGGATTTTGTCCCTCATCCTATCAATGTGATGTATGGTGTTTGTTCCTTTGTGTATGTTGAACCGTCTTTGCATTCCTGGGATAAGTCCCACTTGATGATCTTGTATTGTGTCTTTGACATAGTGTTGAATTTGGGTTGCCAGTATTTTGTTGAGGATCTTTGCATTTATGTTCACCTGCATTGGCCTATAGTTTTCTTTTTTGTTGTTGTGTCTTTATCTGGTTTTGGTATCAGAGCAGGGCCCAGGACACACATGCTCATATGGCTTCTCAGCTGGACTGGGGGCATGTCTGCTGTGGGTGGCCCACACAGCTATTTTTCCAGCTCAGGAAACAAGTGCACAGCTGCCCAGCTAGCTTGGGGTCCCATCTGCCCAAGGAGGCCCATGAGGCTGCTCCTCATGCCCAGGATGCAGGCACATGGCTGCTTGGCTGTCCTGGGGGCTTTTCTGTGGGGAGCGGCCCACAAGGCTGTTTTCTCAGGCCCAGGACACGGGACAGGGCTACCCAGTTGGCCTGGGGGCATTCCCACCAGAGGCAGCCCATGGGGCTGTTTCTCAGGTCCAGGACATGAGCTCTTGGCTGCTTGGCCAGCCTGATGGTGAACTTGCCAGGGGCAGCCTGGCCCTTACTGGGGGCTCAGGACCATTGGACAGGTCAGGGATAGGTCTGTAGTTGCCATGGGGCTGTTGTTAGGCCCTAAGCATGTCTGGGGGCGTATCAGCTGCTCGGAGGCTCGGGGGGCACCCTGTTTGGGGAGGGCACACAGTGGTCTGGCTTGCTCATGGGCAGGGTCGCCCTTGGCATCCTCTTCCTCTGGCTGGAAGTACGGCAGAGGGGTTGGTTTCCTGCTGTGCGGGAGCAGAGCGTCAGCTGATCCTGGGCCCGAGCTCCGTGCAGCTGGGTTGTGGTGCTCAGGCACCCACCTGTGCTTGGCATGACAGCGACAGAGCCCCAGGGCCCTGGAGGTTGGTGGCTCCTGGCCCCAGAGCAGGATGTGCTCAGAGGTAGCTCTGGTCTCGAGAGGAGGCAGTGCTGCAGCAGCCTGGCCCACAGTGGGCGACAGGGTCGGGAGGGCACACCTTGCACCCCTAACCCTGTGCACAGCAGCTGCGTGGATCCCAGTGCTCTCCACACTGGGGCCCTCCTGCGGTAAGGACTGCAGGTGTCTGCTGCGCAGTGGGACTCCTCTGCTCACCTTTCCCCTGCAACGGGAAGTCCCTCCTGTCTCCGGGCAGATGCAGGCCAGGTGGGGAGGCTGAGCTGCGGAGGGCAGGTGTCTCCGTGCTACCCTCCTGGGCTCCTGGTCACACAGGTGCACTGCACCCCCTAGTGATCTCCCCGCCACGCTCCAGTCAAATCTCCGCTGCTTATCCATCGCTTTGGTCCTCCTGTCGGGAGGACGACGGCCAGGCATCTCCAGCCATCGTCTTGCTGACCCTCACCCAGGCTCACCTTGCTGCCAAGCAGCTCATCTCCAGAACTGTCCCCTGGAACACGGCCGGCTCTCCACTGACTCCGCGCTGCTCCCGCCAGACCCTGTGCACCTGGCAGCCCCTCCCGTCAGACTCAGACCTGCCAAGTGTCTCGCAGGGGAGAATGCTGCCCCAGTCAAGACCCTGTGCCCCATGTCCCCGAGCCCATTTCACTACAGCCCTGGGGACCCTTCCCTGCCCAGGCTGTGGCCATTCTCCCGGTGGCTCTGGCCGGTGCCAGGCCTGCATGGCAGATGGCTCTTTATGAGGCCGACAGCAGTGACCCCTGCAGGCCAGGCCCCTCTCTGGCTGGCAGATGCCCCCGCTCTGGCACTCTGGGAAATAGTGCCAAGCGCCAACCACCCTGTGCCCCGCCCCACAGAAGGATACAGTTTCCAAACAGCGTCAGGACGATGAAGTAAAAAGAAGAGAACATGCCTTTGCTGACTCCCCCTTGCGATTCGATGCCATGGTACATCACCGCGTTCCAGTCCTCGCCCGTCAGGATCTGCGGGGAGAGAGCACAGTAGGGCTCGCCGAAGCTGCCGCCCCTCCAACACGGCCCCTGTGCACGCCCACCACGTCCGTGTACTCAGACACACGGGTGTTCAGGTGATGGTGCTTCCCAATGTCTAGACAACCCAGGTCTTCCAGAGAAACATCTAGAAGGACATAACTGCTGAGCTGGGTCTTAAAGGACGAATATGCTTGAGATTTTCAGCCAGAAACAGAACGAGACCTCCCAGCAGGAAAAGAAGGGTGAAGGCAAGGTGGAGAGTGTGGGGAGGTGACACAGAGCCGCCCCCGTCACTGTCCAGCACTGAGGGGACCAAGGCTCAGCACAGGGCGTGGCAGCCTCGTGGCCAAGAACTGGAAGACTCGGCCTTTGACCCTCCAGCCTCCTGCCACCCTGGGCCTGGCGGGTCCACCCTCACAGCCTGGCCAAACGCAATCCTTGCCCCATCAGCAAACCCAGGTCTCTCCTTTCTGCTTTTATTTTTAGAAAAGTACAAGAGAATGAAATCACAAATAGAAACTGTTAACATTCTGCACCATTTGCATTGGTCCTCCTGCCCTACAGGCAACCCCAACCATGGATCTCGGGCAGATACGGTCTTTTTTTTTCCATTTTCAGTTTGGTTTTCTTTTTTATGGATACGTAATATTTGTACATATTTATGGGGTACATGTGGTATTTTGGTACATGCTTACCATGTGTAATGATCAAATCGGGATATTTAGGATATCCATCACCTTGAATGTTTATCATTTCTTTGTGGTAGGAATATTGCAACTCTTCTAGTTCTTTTGAAATATACAATGTATTGTTGTTAGCTATAGACACCCTACTGTGCCATCAAACACTAGAACTTACTCCTTCTACCTGACTGTATGCTTGTACCCAGTAACAACCCTCTCTTCGTCCCCTCCCTCTGCCACCCACACACCCCTCTCAGCCTCTGGTACCTGAAATTCTATCCTCTTTCTTTGTGAGATCCATATTTTTAGCTCCTACATATTAGTGACAACATGTGATATTTCTCTTTCTGTGCCTGGCTTATCTCACTTGACATAATGACCTCCAGTTCCATTGATGTTGCTGCGAATGACAGGATTTGCTTTTTATGGCTGAATAGTATTCCACTGTGTATGTACAACACACTTTCTTTGTGTATTCCTCTGCTGATGGACACCAAGGTTGATTCCGTATCTTGGCTACTGTGAATAGTCCTGTGATAAACATGAGGATGCAAGTATCCCCTTTGATAGAATGATTTCCTTTCCTTTGCATAAATATCTAGTAGTGGGATGGCAGGATTGTACGGTAGTTCTAATTTTTGTTTTTTGAGGAACCTCCATATTGTCTTCCATGATGGTTGTGCTAATTTACGTTCCCACCAACAGGGTATAAGAGTTCCTTTTTCTCCACATCCTCACTGGCTTTTTTTGTTTGTTTTTTATCTTTTTGACAATAGCCATTCTAATTGGGGTGATATAATATCTCACTGTAGTTTTGATTTGCATTTCCCTGATGATTAGTGATGTTGAGTATTTCATTTGTATGTCTTCTTTTTTTTTTTTTTTTTTTTGCCCAGGCTAGAGTGAGTGCCGTGGCGTCAGCCTGGCTCACAGCAACCTCAAATTCCTGGGCTCAGCAATCCTACTGCCTCAGCCTCCCGAGTAGCTGGGACTACAGGCATGCGCCACCATGCCCGGCTAATTTTTTATATATATATTTTTAGTTGGTCAATTAATTTCTTTCTATTTTGGGTAGAGACGGGGTCTCGCTCAGGCTGGTTTTGAACTCCTGACCTTGAGCAATCCGCCCGCCTCGGCCTCCCAAAGTGCTAGGATTACAGGCATTAGCCACCGCGCCCGGCCTTGTATGTCTTCTTTTGAGCAATGTCTATTTAGGTCCTTTGCCCACTTTTTACTGGGATTATTTGATTTTTTGCTATTGAGTTGTTTGAGTTCCTTGTATATTCTGGATATTCGTCCATTGTAGGATGAAGGGACCCAAGTCTTTATAGTTCCATTAACACACCACACATACACATATCCACAAATGGAATATAGTATGTGTGCTAAGCACTTAACACAGGGCAGGAACCAGAGTATGTGTGTTATTCTTCAACTTGCTATCTCCATTCAATATTATATCTTTGAAGTGTATCCATGTTGATACACATTGAATCTACTTTATTCATGTAAACCATGCATAGTTTTCCTTTCATTTATCCATTTTCCTTCTGATAGGCACTTTTAGTGGTTTCCAGGTTTAAAAACTCTATTGTTGTACATTGATCATATGTTCAACAACACTGGTGAATTCTTTCATCATTTCTAATAGATTCTCTCAGATTTTCTATGTACAAAAGCACATCATTTGCAAATAATGACAATTTTTTTCTATTCCTTTCCAGTCTTTCTACCTCTTTTTCTTACATTGTTTCGACTGCCTGAATACTAGACATCCTTGTTTTTCTTCTAATACTTCTAGTATTTTACTGCTATCTATGATGTTTGCTATAGTCTCTTTTAAATAACACCTTTATTGAGATATAACGCACCCATTTAAAGTGTGTAATTCATATCCACAAATATATGTCACCATCACCACAATTTCAGAACATTTTCATCCCCTCACTAAGCTATCACCCGCCCTTGCTACGAGTTTTTATGGATACTCTTCATCATATTAAAAAAAAAGTTCTATCAATTCTTAGTATGATGCAATTCTTAGTATCATGAATGAAAGTTGACTTTTGTCAATGTTTCATCCCACTGCATCTGTTGACACAGTTACTTTTCTACTTCAACCTGTAGAGATCAGGAATTACTTTAGCAAATTCTTGTATTACTGGAATGAACACAATTTAGCTATGAGGTTCTTTTAGGTATTAATATATTTTTATTTATTTTATGTTTACATATATATAATTTTAGATTATTTGCATCTACTTCCCTGAGTAAACATTTAGAATGCTTGCAGTGCCAGACAATACTCAGGTGCTCAGGATGGTCAGTAGACAGACAAGACCCTGCCTCACAGAGCTCACACTCTGGTCTGCATTTTGCTTGTCTTACTTTGCTCTTGCATGGCTTTGGTGTCAAGGTTGTACTAGACTCATGAAATGATTTCTTCCCTTCCCTGAAACGATTTGAGTAAAAGAGTTATCTATTCCTTAAAGGCTTGGTAAAACTCACCTCAGGGCAGGAGGCCAAGAGACAGGAAGACAGTGTTGACTATAGATTCAGTTTCTTCAATGGCTATGAAATGTCTAGGGTTTTTATTTCTTCTTCAGCTAATTTATATTTTCCTATAAAAATGCATGTTCATCTAAGTTTTCAAATCCACTGGCAAAAGTTGAGATAATATTCTCTTGGAATTTTGAAAAATATCTCCTTTCTCCATATTTATGACTCCCTTTGGGGTTTTGTAGGGTTTTTTTTGTTTTGCTTGGTCAGCCTTGCTATAAAATTATCTACTTCATTAGTCTTCTTAAGAATATGATTTTTATGGTTGTGCTATCTTGGTGTTTTAGTTATCTGTGTCATATATGTTTTCTCTTAATGTCACTGTTTTCTGCTTTCGATTTTTCTTTTACTTATTTTCTTTTTCTAGATTCTTAAAATGAGTAGTTAAGTGGTTTTAGTTTTTCCTTTTATTTTTGATAATTGAAGATTATAATTTTCCTCTATATACTGTTTCAGGTTCATCCTATAGTTTTAATATCCTTCAGTTCTCAGTATTTTGGAATGGCCATTGTGATTGCTCCACTAGCCTACCCAAGCCTTTAACTTATAAATATGGGACATTTTAAATGACTTCATTGACAGTATCTATTTATTTAAATGACACCAAGGATAGCAATTATTTAATATTTTGTAGGAATTTCCTGGATGATCTAACAAATGGTCAATTTTGGTGAATGTTCCACATGCCCCAAATAATGAATATTCTCTTCACCGTCTGTTGGGTACAGTTCTCTATGTGCCAACTGGTTCACGTTTACTGTGTTTGTGTATTTACTTCCTTTCTAATCTTTTGTCAGCTTCATCCTTCATTTTGACAGATATGTTCTATATCTCTTATAAGATGGTAAAGTTTTTCTTTCTCCTTTTAATTTGTTTTTGTTCAATATATTTTAAGGCCATGTTGTTAGGTCATGCGAGTTCATGACTGCAGTATGTTCTCAGTGGAGTCTTCCTTTTATCATTATGTAATAAGCCCCTTTATTCTTACTAATCTTTTTTTTAACCTTAATTCCTATTTTGGCTGATATTAATACATAAGCTTTCTTTTGGTCAATGTTCACTTAGTTCATCTTTTTGCATTCATTTCTTTTATTTTATTTTCTTTTTTGAGACAGAGTCTAGCTCTGTCCCCTAGGTTGGAGTGCCGTGGCACAATCATATGCTCACAGCAACCTCAAACTCCTGGGTTCAAGCGATCCTCCTGCCTCAGCCCTCTGAGTAGCTGGAACTGCAGGCATGCAGCACCATGCCCAGCTAATTTTTCTATTTTTTTGTGGAGACAGGTCTCGCTCTTGCCCAAGCTGGTCTCAAACTCCTGACCTCAAGCAATACTCCTGCCTCAGCCTTCCGAAGTGCTAGGATTACAGGCATGAGCCACCATGCCCAGCACCTTAATTATATAATATTTTAAACACTTAAAAAGGTACAATGAATAATTTAACAAAACTTCGTGCACCCACCATCTAGCTTAAAAAATAAAACATCAAAATGTGGCTGAATTTCCTTACCTAAAACTCCCTGATCCCATTCCTCTCACTCTCCCTATCTCCCAACACCTGTCCCAGGTAAGCAGTGTCCTAAATTTGGTGTTTATCATTCCCACGCAAGCTTTTATATTGCTACTGCATACTTATCATGAACAATATGTAATATTGTTTTGCACGATTCTCATCCTCATTTAAACAGTAGCATATACTACGTATTATTCTAAAACTTGCTTTTTTTGCTCAGTGTTAAGTTCGTGAGCTCGTCCTGCTGACACAGTTATGGGCTGGTCATTGTCCCTGCTGCACCAGGATGACATTTCTTATCCATCTCCCGATGATGCGCAGTCAGGTGACTTCCAGGTTTCTGTCATTACAAATAATGCTGCTATTATGGCCTCACACGTTTCTTTGTGCAGTTGGGCAAGAAACCTTCCAGAGCATATGCCTAGGACAGGAGCTGTTTGCGTACAGATTCCAGTGGTTGGGTATTATGAAATTATCTTCCAGAATGTTCTACCAATCCCCCAGCAGCATACGGGAGTCCTCATTTCTCCATGACTTCTCTAAAATTTGACGTTTTTATATTCCGTAATCTCGGCTGATAGGTGGGAGGGGTGGTCTCGCTGGGGGTTGAATTTGCAGTTTCCCAGCTAGAGTGAGACTCATTCCCGTTCTGCAGTCCATTCATCAGCCCATTCCCCTCTCCTGTGAGCTGCTTGTTCACATCCTCTGCCTTTTCCTGCTACAGGGTCTTTCTGTTTTGATTTGTGGAACTTTTCGATACATTCTGAAAACGAACCCTTGGTTGGTTATTTACTAACTGGAAATGTCTTCTCCCAGTCCATGGTTTTTAGGGTTTTTTTTTTTACTTTTTTATGGTATTTTATTCTTATTCTTATTTTAAGATCATATTTGTCCATTGTTTCCTTTATGACCTATGCTTTTTCTGTCTTCTTTAAGAAGGCCTTCTCTGATCTGAATTAATAACAAGATACTTGTGTGTGTTCTTCTAAAATTTTAGGTTTGCTTTTCACACCTGGGTGTTAATCCATCTTCACACCTGGCACAAGGTAGGAATCCAATTTCACATTTTCTATGTGCTATGTGGTTAAACAAATTGTCCCACAACATCTGCAGTGACAGCACTTGGGTTTTCTGTGAATATACAAATATTCTGTCTGTAAATGATGACATTTTTCTTTCCTCTTTGTCAATCCTGAGCATTTATATTTCATTTTTTCTTGTTCTCCTGCACTAAGACCACTGATTCTAGCATAATCTACTAAGAGTTTTTATTTGGAAGGAGTGTTAGATTTTACCATATGATTTTTTTTTTAGAAAAAAATTTCTTACAGACATTTGAAACACACACAAAGTACAGAGTATAGCGAGCCCTACGCACCCATCACCCAGGTTCAGCAATTAACAAAATCTGCCGGTCTCGCTGTGTCTCTTCTCCCACTCATGTGGCTGGCTGTGCTTTTGCTAGAGTTCAAAGTTTCTGCTGATCATACAGCGTTTTCCCACCTTAATCTGTTAATATGATAAATTACATTAATAGACTTTCTAATGTTAAATTATCTTGCATTTCTAGGAAAAATGCTGATTAACTATAATTTGATTAGGGATGACTCCTCTGGATATTTTTGCCTCTGTGTTTGTGACACAATCTTCCTGTATTTTTCTTTTCTCATATTGTCCTTGTTTAGTCTTCTCATAGCAAAGTTATTCTGGCCTCATAAAATAAGAGGGTGCTTTCCTTTTATAATCTTTGGAGTGTTCTACATATAACTGGAATAACTCCCTAAATAGTTAATAGAATTCACCTACAAACCTATCTGAACTTGGTGGCTTGGGTAGGAGAATATTAATTAGTTGGTTTCTGAAATGGTTCAGGCTTCCTATTTCTTTTTTGGCTTAATTTAATGTATTCTTTTCTTCTAAATCATCCACTTCGCTACATTCGTGTTTGCAGTGTTTTCGGCAGGGATCTTGGGGGTGGTCGTCTCTTCACGTCTGCATCTTGAAAGGTCTTCACAGCTCCCTGGGTTCAGAGTTCTCAGCTGGCGGTGGCTGCACCGGTACTTCAAAGTCACTTTCCTATGACCTTCTGGTCTCTCTTGCTCGTGAGAAGTCATTCTTTCATAGGAAACCTGTTTTTCTGGGGTAGCTTTAGGACGTTCTCTTTGCCGCACTGTCTGTGTCTGTGATTACTCTGCTCCCCGAGTGGCCTTCTGAGGTGCACACCCCAGGACGCATCGGAAGGGCAGGCGCCGCCATCTTCCACGCCCGACATGGCCAGCTCCAGCCCACGGCGGGCTTCCTGTCCGTACCCGCGTCTCCCCAGCGCTGCCGTCCTGCTGTTTCTGATTGCGCCCAGTGCACAGTCCACCCTTCATTTGTTTGTTTGTTGTTGTTTTCTTTGAGACAGAGTCTCACTCTGTTGCCCCGGCTAGAGTGAGTGCCGTGGCGTCAGCCTGGCTCACAGCAACCTCAAACTCCTGGGCTCAAGCAATCCTCCTGCCTCAGCCTCCCTAGTAGCTGGGACTACATGCATGCACCACCATGCCCGGCTAACTTTTTCTATATATATTAGTTGGCCAATTCATTTCTTTGTATTTATAGTAGAGACGGGGTCTCGCTCTTGCTCAGGCTGGTTGCGAACTCCTACCTTGAATGATCCTCCCACCTCGGCCTCCCAGAGTTCTAGGATTACAGGCGTGAGCCACCACACCAGGCCCACCCTTCACTTTTTAAATTAAACAGCTGTATTTTTCATTTCTAGTTCCTCTAGTCAGTTGTTTTCCAAATTAACCTATTCTTTGCTCTTAGGCGCCTTCTTTTCATAAGTTTGTGTTTTACGTGGGTTCTCCCTTACTCCTCTGTGGATCTGGGTTACGTTTGGTTTAAAGTCATCCATATTTGTTCTGTCACCTCCTTTCTCTGGGCGTGATCCCACCTTCCAGCTGTGGCTGCTGCTGGTCCTCCCGCGGTGCCGCCCGCTGTAACATGCTGCAGTCTGCGCTCACGGGGCGCAGAGCGGAAGCTGCTCTCACCGCCCCACGCACCCCCTTCCCCACCCCCCTCTGAACCCCAGGCAGAGAGGCAGGGCCCCCCCCTCCCGCCCCCAGCCAGAGCCACCTGCGGGAATCCGGGCCTGGCCACCTGCCTGCTCCGAGCCACCCTCGTCCCAGGGTGAGGTGTGGCTGTCCCCAGCGCTCTGAGAGGCCAGGTGGTCTTTTACCATGGTATGTTCTGTCCTGCTTCTAGTCCACAGAGACCTTGGTTTTGCTTGGCTGGGTCCTTTTACTGTCCAGTATCATTATCTTATTGCAGTGATCAGAGCAGAGGGGTGAGAGCTCGCCTGATCGGAAGAACCCGCATTTTCTCCTTACTCTGACCTCTTCCTCCCTCCCCACGCTCAGGTCCCTCCTTGCAACAAACACAACCACACAGAGCTCTGGACGTCACCCGTGTCACCTCCCTGACTTGGATTCCCCGTGGCAGCCCCCGCTGGTGGAGCCTCCCGTCATACACGGGCACTCACGGCCCAGACTGTCCCCACGTTCTCACTGCTTGGCCTGGAACACGCCCCTCACGACGTCCCCGCCTGGCACACAAGACCCCACCACGCAGCCCCAGCCTGGGACCCTTCCCGCCACCGAGCAGACCATGCTCTCGGGACAGGCCGTGGCCCCCTCCACGGGAGGCCCGGCTGGGAGACCGCCGTCCACGGAGGCCGGTGTGGATCCTGTCCCCTGTGGAGTGCTCAGACACGCGCGGCAGACCCAGTCTCGGAAGGCGCCGGCTTGTGCGCAGGCCAGAGCGCTCATGGCGCCAGCTGGAGAAGGGAGAGCCGCAGCGGCCGACTTGAGTCCCCCACACTCGGGGAGCCGGAGGGGAGGGATGGTGCAGAGGGACTTGGGGTGCGGTTGGAGAGGAAGGAGAGAGAGGACAGCACAGGGCGCGCGAGGCCTGGCGTGACAGTGACCAGGAGAAGAGCCAATGGCCGCAGCCCAGTGAGAGACGGGTGACCGGGACCGTTGGTTGCAACCGGCCGGGGCGGGGTTGTTTTTTCGGCGGTTCCCTTGTTTTGTTTGGGGGTTTTGTTGGGAGGCCCCTTTCCCCCCAGAGAGCGTGACACCCACGGCCCTGTCCTCACACGTGCCGTGGCTCTGGCTGTGGCCAGCGGTGGGGCCGGGCGCTGAGCTGAGCCCCAGCCCGGAGCGCACATGGCCTCCTAGGCCTCCCCGAGTGTCGCCACGTGCCGGACAAAGGCCTGCCATGGGCTCCGCAGCCTCAGATATGGGGTCCAAGGAGGGTTCCTGGGACAGAAACGCACGGCCCTGTCACAGCAGTGAGCCGCTCACTGGCGGTGGTTATGGTGCCACAGCCCGTGAAAGGCAGAGGAGCCTACCCAGGAACATCCTCGAAAGGGACCCCCTGGAGGGCAGAGGTCACGGGGCTGACGGGCTCGGTGGCAGAACATCGGCCCACGGCCTCGGCTCTCCAAGGAGCCGTCGGGGGCGAGTGTCCAGACACAGAACTGGGGTGTCACTGGGGACTGAGGTCCTGGGGAGGAGTCTGGGGGGCTCTGTGGGGGCCAGGAGGTGAGCTGGTCTCTTAAAGCCCGGCTGGGCCCCCAGGAAATGACATCTGCCCCTTGGGAGGCAGCGCAGCAGAGCACCCAGCCCCCGGAGATCTGGGTCAGGGTCCGGGACCCAGAGACCCCCATGCGGGGACCTGCCTGTGCCTCTGGAAGGTTCCGTCCGAGGTGCTGGCCATCTGGGCCGTGCTGAGGAGCCAAGGAGGGACAGACGGGGAGGGACGGAAGGGGAGGGATGGACGGGGAACCTGCTTTCTGAGCACGTGGGGAGGGAGGCCATGCAGGGATTCTCACCTGGAACACGGTGAGGATGGCAGCCGGGAACGTGTCAAAGTTGGTCGTCGGGGTCTCGTCCTGAAAGTTGAACCTGAGGACAAGGAGAAGTCTTGGGAAAGAGCCCGCTGGGAGCCGGGAGGGGCCAGCAGCCAACACGCCGGTTGCAGGCGGCCGAGGGCTGCTCACAGCCCCTTCCAGCACCTAGGGAGGGAAGGCCGGTGGAGGAGGCCTGGGCGCCACTGCCTGTTCTGAGCCTCCCAGCTGGGCTCGAGACTCGCACCCCCTCCGGGACCCACTTACTGCCCCCCAAACAGCTGCATCCCCAGCAGGGCGAAGACCACGATGAATAGGAAGAGCAGGAAGAGGAGGCTGATGATGGACTTCATGGAGTTGAGCAGGGATACCACCAGGTTCCTCAGAGAGTTCCAGTACCTACAGGGCCGGGCAGGGGGTGGTCTAAGCCCAGGACTGTGCCAACCCCAGCCAGGGCTCCCCAACCCCAGATGCCGGCTTCACCAACGTCCGGGCTCTGCAGTCACACCGGTGGCTTCCGTGACCTTCTACACCCTGAGGGCCCCACACCCAGGTGGGAAGCCAAAGCTGTTCTCTGGAGTTCCAGACCCACTGTCCCGACTGCACCCCTGGGCCCGCAGGGATGGCAGAGGGAGTGTGTCCAGGGCTGGCTCACCTGCTCTCTGGACAAGGAATCCCTCCCTCCCCTGGGACTGGCGGGGTCTAGGCCAGCCTACCTCAGCACAGGGTCCCCTCCCTACGCACAGGGTCACCTGCCTCCACACAGGGTCACATGCCTCCACACAGGGTCCCCTCCTTCCACACAGGGTCTCCTGCCTCCACACAGGGTCCCCTCCTTCCACACAGGGTCCCCTCCTTCCACACAGGGTCTCCTGCCTCCACACAGGGTCCCCTCCCTCCACACAGGGTCCCCTGCCTCCACACAGGGTCCCCTGCCTCCACACAGGGTCCCATGCCTCCACACAGGGTCCCCTCCTTCCCCACAGGGTCCCCTCCTTCCCCACAGGGTCCCCTCCCTCCCCACAGGGCTCCCTCCTTCCCCACAGGGTCACCTGCCTCCGCACAGGGTCACCTGCCTCTGCACAGAGTCCCCTGCCTCAGCACAGGGTCCACTCCTTCCACACAGGGTCCCCTGCCTCTGCACAGGGTCCACTCCTTCCACACAGGGTCCCCTGCCTCTGCACAGGGTCCCCTGCCTCCACACAGGGTCAACTCCTTCCACACAGGATCCCCTGCCTCCACACAGGGTCCCCTGCCTCCACACGGGGTCACCTGTCTCAGCACGGGGTCCCCTGTCTCAGCACGGGGTCCCCTGCCTCTGCACAAGGTCCCCTGCCTCTTACAAGAAACCAGAGCCCAAGATGCCAGGCCCCAAGGCCAGGCAGAGGCAAGCCTGCGGTCACTTCCCGGAGCCCCTCTCACCGGCAAGTCATAGGGAAGCAGCGTGGGCCTAGGGACCCACTGCAGGAAGCACTCAGAGAGCGTCTGTGGACGCCGCTGGGCTGACTCCAGCCCGGCCTCCTCTGCATTAGCACCTTCATATCCTCAAACAGTCCTGGGCTGGGACTGTAAATGGACTGGAAGAGACTTTGGCGTGCCCTGGGGAGACCAGCGGGCTTCCAGGAGGCTGTCTCCGTCCCTGGACGGGAGGCCCACGGGCCCTGCCCCACTCAGTTCTGCTCCTCGGGCCCCAGGGCCGCTGGGCCCCAGTGTGGTCCGGCTGCCTGTGGAACGGCAGCCCCACAAACACAGGGCGTGGTGAGCCCACTGCGGCCCTTGCTACTGCTCTTCCCTCTTCCCACCCAGCTCCGCGGCCCCGGCCCGCTCCCGCCAACGGCCCCATGTCGCGTCCGAGCTCAGTCTCTTTGCAGGCGAACGAGCAACTCTCGCCCAGCCAGAGTTCAAGTGGGACGTGACCAAAGACAGGGTCTTGTCGCTGCCACTGTCACAGGGCAGGGCAAGTGCCAGTCTTGCTCGGGCGCCGGGCCAGGGCCAGGCTCCTGCCCTCCCCGGGGCTGCAGGGAAGGGCACGGCACTTCCAATTCTCTCCTGACTATACAGCAAAGTCACCTCTGAAGGCCGGGAGGACGGGACTGGGAGTCTCCAGAGGAGAAAGGAGCCACACGGGATGGGAGCTGGCAGCGCCGGGGCCAGGTGGGAGGGCGGGCGTGGCCCCAGGCTGTGGCACGGCGGCGGCGTGTGCCTGGTGGGTGCCACTTTGCAGCCATCCTTGGTACTGAGACCAGCAGAAGCCACAGGAGGAGCTGCAGGCACCAGGAACCCCTAGAAATACCCTGTGTCGGCCAAGCCCGTGCCCCACCCTGGTGCAGCGGGTGACGTACTTCGTGACCTTGAAGATCCTCAGCAGGCGCAGCGCCCGCAGCACGCTGATCCCAAAGGAGGCTCCTGGCTTGATGGCCGCCCAGACCACCTCGAAGATGCTCCCCACGATGACCTGCAACAGATGTGTCACGCAGGGCCACGCCCACATCACCTGCACGCTCACCTGTGCCAGCGCACCTGCCCGCCACGCCTCCCACCCGAGACCAAGCCGGATGAGGCGCGGCCTCATGCTGAGCGCCCGGAACCCTCGGGGGGCAGTGGAGTCCCACCGGCCCGGGGACCTGCCTCCTGTCTGCCCACCCAGACACCAGGGAGACAGACACGGGCTGAGGGTGGCCACGGGTGCCCTGGCAGACCTGAATGCCACACGGCCTGGGCCTCACTCACCTGGGCTTCAGCACAGCCCGGAGCTGGCAGGGGACTCCAGACAGCCCCGACCACTAGACGTCTCCCTCATAGGCTGGCAACCCGCTTCCCTGTGACTCCCTCCCTGGGCCTCACCTGGGCTTCAGCACAGCCCGGAGCCGGCAGGGCACTCCAGACAGCCCCGACCACTAGACTGCTCCCTCACAGGCTGGCAACCCGCTTCCCTGTGACTCCCTCCCTGGGCCTGCCACTGCTCCGAGATACTCAGGTTCATAACTGCCTCGCAAGTCTCTCCTTCTCCAGTGACTGGGAGCCGGCACGGGCCCCAGGCACAGGTTGCGGGGAGCCTGCCCACGGGCTGCACGGCCAGGGCCCCCGCAGGCACCTCAGTGCCGGGGATGGGGTTTGTGAGCAGGGCCCCCCTCCAGCCTTCTCAGAGGGACCCGTGTCCTCTCCATGTGGGTTAATTCTCATTTCCTTTAACCCACGCTCCTGCAATTAACGTGGAGCATGCACCTCTTGAGTTCCACTTTATCGTATTTGGTGCGTGTTATTTCCCAACGTTTTAGTCGTTTCTACCAACTTCACGTCGGCTGCAAATCCGATCAGCTGATGTCAATGCTCCCAGCAGGTCATGGAGGGAATGGTGAGTACGCCAGGACAGAGCTCTGTGGCGCACCTCTAGAAACTTCTCCGGGTCAACACTGATCGCTAACCAGCATGGCTGGGATGGCAGGTGCGCCGTCCACACAGGTAGCTCAAATGCGGCCACCCGCCACACGCTCCTCTATCTCGTCCAAAACGCGTCATTCAGTGAACGTCACGTGTCCCGCCAACACCCAGGTGTGCCGGTACCCACACGCCCGTGACAGGCTATCCACACGGCACACACGTGCTGTCCTTGGTCCACACCTGGTCAAGTCCCACCTGGACACCTAACCCTCTTTGCTTTACACTGGCGAGTCATCCAGAGGTCTGCCAGGGCCGAGACGGCAGCTTTCTTTCTTTCTTTCTTTTTTTTTTTTTGAGACAGTCTTACTCTGTTGCCAGGCTAGGGTGCCATGGCGTCAGCCTAGCTCACAGCAACCTCAAACTCCTGGGCTCAAGCGATCCTCCTGCCTCAGCCTCCCAAGTAGCTGGGACTACAGGCATGGGCCACCATGCCTGGCTAATTTTTTCTATTTTTGGTAGAGACGGGGTCTCGCTCTTGCTCAGGCTGATCTCGAACTCCTGAGCTCAAATGATCTGCCCGCCTCGGCCTCCCAGAGTGCTGGGATTACAGGCGTGAGCCACTGCACCTGCCCGAGCCTCCAGATTGCCGTGCTTTCTTCTCGCCATCAGTCTTCCAGCACCTCGTCTGTTTTCCACTAATCCTCAGACTCTGACCCACTGGCTGGTGTGGCAGGTGGCCTCTCAGATGACCCAGTCACCTGCCACCTGTGCTCACTCCTGTGCCTGCTCCCACCCCCTGGAACCTCACTCTGAGCAAACAGAACATGGCAGAAGGGATGGGGGTCGCCTCTGAGACCAGCCTGCAAAAGGACTATGGTTTCTGCCTCGGTCTCTCTTCCGGATCTCCAGAAGCTGCGTTGAGAAGACACTCCTGCAGCCTTGAGGACAGTGTGGCCAGGACCAGAAACCCACCGGCAGCCACATCTGTGAGCCTGAAAGCCGATTTCCTGAGCTCTTTCAACAGCCACAAGCACAAGTTTGGCGGTGAATCCTCCAGCCCAAGCGAGCCTGGGACGCCTGCACCCTCACTGGGGACTCTGAGCTGGGGCACCCGGTCAAGTCACACCCCGACCCCTGACTCACAGACACAGTAAAACAATAGATGTTTTTTGCTTTAGCCACCAAGATTGGCCCCAGCAAGAAAAGTCAACACAGGCTTTGGAAGCAGAAGTCGGGTGCTGCTGTGATCACAACCTGGTGTGGGACAGTGGTTTTGGAGCCAGAAGACGGGCGTCGCGCAGCATAGTCGTGACGGGGGAGTGCCCCAAACACAGGTTACAGAGTTTTGGACACTGAGAGTGCTGTGCCTCGAGGCCTGCGGGGAAGTGGGGAGAATGTCGCAGGGAATTAAATGACAGTTCCTGGTGCACGTTGGCGGAAGGTGTAGCCCACTGCTAAACCCAGGGCTACGTGGCAAGTGGAAACATGCTCAACGACCTGGGAGGTTGACCCTAGGAGATTTCTAAGCCAAGTGCGGAAGGTACTGCCTGGAATCTTCTTGCTGCTTAGAGTTAGATGTGAGAGGAGGAAGCTAAACGGAGGGAAGTGTCATTGGACAAAAAGAGACTAGGACTTGCTGCTTTTGACAACGCTCAGCCTCTCCAGAGAGCAAACGAGGCCAACATTAAGAAATAGCGAGTTCTAAGGGCAAATCCAAGGGCAAGACTGTGACTTTTATGGAATATACTGGAAAGATCCAAGGAGCTGACCAAGAGTCACACTTTCAGGCCCTTTGAAGAGACTGAGGGTCAGAGAAGCAGCAAGCCCTCTGGACCCTGCAGGGTGCTGACCCCGGTCCCCTCAACAGGAGCACACCCGGAGAAGGGCTCCCCCCCCAAGCTGTGGGTACAGCTGTTGTCTCATGCAGTGAACCCCAAGAAGGGTCACAATATCCACAAAACTCTTAACAGACTTATATGCAGAGCCATCACCAGCTGACTAAGCTAGGCATGCAAAACAAACAAAAACAGGTCTTTGAATCCCCAAAACTTTACTAGTAGAAGGCAGGCTGAGAAAACCACTCGGCTGACAACGTCTGCTACCTTTCAGAAAGGAGAAAAGGGACTAAGAGGGCAGAACCGAGAGCCCAGAGGGCATCCTGGGCCATAAGCACAGGTCACAGGATCTCCGACATCTGCCCAGCTGGACTTGAGACTTGCCGTGGACCATCTATGGCCAGACCACCCCGAACGTGCCAGATCTCGTCTGGTCTGGGAAGCTAAGCAGGTCGGGCCTGGTTGGTTCTTGGATGGGAGAATTGCTATGGGCCAGCGGTTCTTTCCACCTCCCCAAGGAGCCTCAGCCACACCCGGACCTGGCTGGCGAGGAAATGCTAGACCTGGAGCTGATGCTGTGAGGGGTGAGAACCTGGGGACCGGAGGGGTGACTGTATTTCACCCTGGAGGGATGTGGACCACCAGGGGCCAGAGAGCAGGCTGCGGTGAGCAGCCTCTGGGTGGCCCCAGAGACCCTCCCCTGCTGGGGCTCACGCCCTTGTGTGACGTCCACACTCTTAGGTACTAGTCACTACGCCTGGTGACTCACTCCCAACAAGAACAACATGGCAAAGTGGATGGGACACCTCTTCTGAGCTGGGTTCCTACAGCTTCCGTCTCAAGTACTGTCAGTTCTCTCTCTCAGACTGCAAGCTGCTGTGCTGTGAGGACATTCCAGCAACCCACGGGGAGGCCCATGTGACCAGGACCCAGGGCCGGCCAGCTACCATGTGCACAAGCTTGAAAGCAAATCCCCCAGCCCAGATCCAGCCTTGGAATGACCACGTTCCTGGCCTTTGACTGGACTGGAACCTCCTGAGAGACCCTGGGCCACCTGGTCAAGTCCCACCTGGACTCCTAACCCACAGAATGTGAGATAATAGATTCTCGTGGTTTTAAGCTGTTAAGTTCTAGAATAATGTGTTAGCTTATGTGCAGATTATGCCCGTGTCCCGGGACCAGTTAGTTCAGATCAGAAGATTGAAACACATTTAAAATAGTAACGTATCCATGACATCTCTCCACCTCTCAGGGCCCCTCTGCCTGCGGAACTTAGCTTTTCTTTGTGACCAACAGGCAAAGGCTAAGAAGAGCTGGTGTCTTCCCAGTGATCTACCAAAATCTCAGATGTCCGCATCTCAGAGAGCTCCGTGGGCTGCCGCCACCTGTCCCTCCTCCGAGATCAGACAGCCGGCACGGCGCAAAACCACCAGCCCTGAGGTCAGGGAGCCTGACCCCGTGCAAACCAGACGGCAGCCCTGGGCCAACCACACAACGTCTCCAGTCCCTCCTCTATGAAGTGAGTGCTGTTGTGAGGACTCAACAAAACCACGGACACGAACGTTCTGCCAGCTGGAAGCATGGTGCGACCAGCCAGAAAGTTTAAGTTAAGCTGCATCTTCAAACTCGAGTTTCACTTCTGTGTAGACCCAGGCTCCTTCTGCTGCAGACTCTGCAGGGCTCTGAGTCCGTCCTCAGGACCGGCGCATGCACTTGTCACTCGGAGCCTCCAGTGGGTCACAGCGCAGCCCCGGGCAGGTGCCGACTGCACTACACGCCAGGGCTCTGGGCTCAGTACCATGGCACTGTTGGGTGCACAGCCCCGTCCCACACTCTGGTCTCCACTCGCAGCAACCCGAGTGAGCAGCTTGCTGCAAGGCCTCCCTTGCCTGCTGCAGTTGGGGAGGGACCCAGGCCAGGCTCGCAGCCCCCCACCCCCACGGCCTATCCTGCCTGCCCCAGAAGTGCCACTGCGTGTGCCTGAGCCTGCCCAGCGCCAGACCCACAGGGTGCTGGAGAACCGGGACCACGGCCCCACGGGCTCTGCTGGGGACAGACTGAGCCCTCCACAGGGAAACCAGACCCCAGGCAGGGAGGGAGCTGCAGAGCCTTCTGCTGGTCTTGAGCTTCGACAGGGCCAGAGGAAGGAAGGTCGGCGTTCTGCACACAGAGAGCGGCTGCGCCGGCACCCCCAGCAGTCAGGCCCGGCCAGGGCAGGCCTCCCTCTGCCAGCGCCTGGAACCTGTCTCTAGGCAGCCCTCCCGGCTCACACGGGACACAGGCCCCGGCCCGGCCAGGGCAGGCCTCCCTCTGCCAGCGCCTGGAACCTGTCTCTAGGCAGCCCTCCCGGCTCACACGGGACACAGACCCAGGCCCGGCCAGGGCAGGCCTCCCTCTGCCAGCGCCTGGAACCTGTCTCTAGGCAGCCCTCCCGGCTCACACGGGACACAGACCCAGGCCCAGCCAGGGCAGCAGGCCTCCCATCTGCCCAGCCTGCCTGAACCTGTCTCCTAGGCAGCCTCCTCCCGCGTCAGCGGGCACCAGACCCCAGGCCCGGCCAGGGCAGGCCTCCCATCTGCCGCGCCCTGGAACTGTTCTAGGCAGCCCTCCCGGCTTCACCCGGGACACCAGACCCGCGCCGCCAGGCAGGCATCCCTCTGCCAAGCGCCTGGACCTGTCTAGGCAGCCTCCGGCTCACACGGACACAGGCCCCGGCCCAGCCTGGGCAGGCCTCCTCTCTGCCAGCGCCTGGAACCTGGTCTCTAGGGCAGCCCTCCGGTAACACGGGACACATGGCCCCAGCCCAGCCTGGCCAGCCTCCTCTGCCGCCGCCTGGCAACTGTCTCAGGCCCCTCCCGGCTCACACGCGGGACAGCAGACCCGCCAGCAGGGGCAGGCCTCTCCCTCTGCCAGCGCCTGGACCTGTCTCCCTAGGCAGACCTCCCCGGCTCACGCGGACACACAGAACCCAGCCCAGCCAGGGCAGGCCCTCCCCTCTGCAGCGCCTGGAACCTGTCTCTAGGCAGGCCTCCCTGTCCGCTCATACACGGGACATCAGGCCCCGGCCCAGCCAGGGCAGGCCTCCCTCTGCCAGTGCCTGGAAGACCTGTCTCTAGGCAGCCCTCCCGGCTCACACGGGACAAGCAGACCCAGCCCGCCAGGGCAGGCCTCCCTCTGCCAGCGCCTGGAACCTGTCTCTAGGCCAGCCCTCCCGTCACACGGACACAGGCCCCGGCCCGGCCAGGGCAGGCCTCCCTCTGCAGCGCCTGGAACCTGTCTTAGCAGCCCTCCCGGCTCACACGGGACACAGACCCGACCCGGCCAGGGCAGCCTCCCTCTGCCAGCCCTGGAACCTGTCTCTAGGCAGCCCTCCCCGCTCACGCGGGACACAGACCCCGGCCCAGCCTGGGCAGGGCATGTGGGGGCTGCGTGTGCTCTCGGCGAGGACACAGCTCAGACCCCCGCACCCCGCAGGCGGCCCTGGTGAGGGTCTTACTCACCCCAAAGTCAAAGCAGTTGAAGGAGGACCGAAAGTAGCTTCTGGGCCCCAGACCGTACATCTCAGGACATTCTCTGTGAGGAAGAGACCCAGGAAGAAAACTCTGCAAAGTCTAAGAGAAGCCAGAGGAGAGGGGATTAGCACGAGGCCTCCTCCCACCCGGGTCCAGCCGGACTGGAGGACGCCAGGGCTCGGGGTCTGCAGACTGCAGCCCCACGCTCTGGAACTGCAGCCCAGGACAGGGATGAATGGACGGAGGGGACCTGGAGAGCCAGTCCTTGCTGCCTGGCTCTAGGGCCCGCCCGGCTCCTTGTCCGAACCATCTTTCCACCAGGACTTCCCAGATGCCCGTCCGCAGGGCCCCCACCCGTGTGTTTGCCCACTCCACGGAGAGCCCCTCCACCGCTCGAGCACCCAGGAAGCACTGACTGTCGCTGGGGGCTCGGTGACACGGCCCCTCATGCTGACAGTGAGGCTCCTGTGGGCACATCAGCCATCCGGGGGCTGCCTGGCCCGGGGGTCCACCAGTCCCCGCTCAGGCCCTCGGGCCACGCTGGGGCTGCAAGGCTATGCTGGGAACTCAAGGCACGGACGCTGCTAACCCGGCCCAGGCAGAAGGAGGAACAGGAGGGAGAGGGAGTCAGAGAAAAACAGCAGTCACTTCAGAGGCTGCACAAGGCCACAGACAGCAGGAGGCAGGCCACGGCTCAGCCGCCCACCGCCAGGCGTCGAGACATGAGGGCGAGGCCACTGCCTTTGATTCTGATCCCCAAAGCGCTGAGCTAGAATCAGCTCTTTGCTTCACCACGGAGGCCAATCACTGCGCCCTCTGCCCAGGGTGGCAGGGCCAGGGAGGCAGCCAAGAAACCAGGGCAGAGCACCGTAAAGAACGAGGCCACGAGGCAAGAGGGCGACCGTTGGAGAGCCCGTCCCGGGCAGACTCCACCCTGGCCTTCCTGGGCTCTGTCGGGCCTGAGGGGCCACGGCTACTGATAAAACAGACGCCAAGAGGGCCACACGCCTCCTCCCATCCTGGCACACCTGGCATCTGCCTTTCCCCGCTCTCCACCAGCCCAGGCTCACGGGGCCACCCAGCCTCCGTCGGCGGGCTCCACGGCCCACGTGGGCACCACGCAGACAGACCCCCACGCCCAGCCACGGCCGAGCACAGGACGACCAGGCCTCCAGGAGCAAGTGGCTCACAGCCAGCCTGGCTCCCGAGCCAGAAGTCCCGGGCACCCAGCCAGGCGGGAGGACAACAAGGAGGCCGTGTGGCCTCTTGGCTTCACGTCAGAGGCGTGGATGCCACAGACCCCCCCAGGGCAGGGGAGCAGGCTCTGCACGAGAGACAGCGTGTGGGGACAGCGGTGGCCAGGTCTGTCTCAGAGCTGTGCCAGGCCTCACGGGGCTCACAGGGTGGTTGCTTGAGGACAAGCTGGACAGCTGCAGGAGCGCCTTGGGACAGGCCCACCACGGAAGCCCTTGGCTCCTGTGAGCACACGCCTAAAGCTACCCGAGTTGGTCCTGGCAGTCCGGGTAGAGTGCTCACACGCAGCAAACGTCCCCCGCTCCCTGCAGCCATCCTCCCTGTGACACCAGCAGGGGCCTGGAGTTCGGGAACCTGCAGAGAAGACCCAAGCAGCAAGGGGCAGGTTCCCCACGATGGGAGCCTGTGCTCCAACGTGCAGCACCCTGCCGCTCAGTCCGGCACCACCGCTTCTCCTGGGGGAGAACGGACCCGCCGCTGGCTGGGTCAGGAGGAAGCCCTGGACCGCCACGACCCCCACATGCAAGAAACCGGAGCCTGAGGACTCAAGAACAACACAACTCCGTCCAAAAGCAAAGCCCCAAGATAGCAAACCAATGGGCCCCTGGACCCGAATTAGGGACAGAAGCAGGCATTCAATGCACACACTGCCTTTGAACTTCACCCTTTTGGGAGCTTGAGCCGGAGGCTTCCAGAAACTCCCCTGGTCCTCCTGCCACTGCTGCTCTCCTAACCCTCCCCCCAACCAGCCCGGGACTTAGTCCTCTCTACAGAGTTCGGGCCGACTGCAGCCTAGATCCCATCCATGCTTTCCCGTGTCCTCCCCACCGGGAGCAGAGCCCTATAGCTCATGAGAACCTACAGGAGCCGAGCAGCTTCCCAGGCCGAGCAGGACCCAGCTGGGGTCCACAGCAGGGAGTCGGTGGCCGACCCCCTGGGGCCCCGAGGAGGCCAACTGGTCATGGCGAGAACATATGGAAGCGCAGGCCAGGACTGGGCCTAGGACGTTTTCCTCCCTGGCATCCAGAAAGCTCTCCCTGGCCCGCCTGAGAGGTCTGCAGGGCACCACAGCGGCCCTCCAAGGGCAACTGAGGCGCTGTGGGGAGCCCCAGAAAAGCCCTGTCCCATTGGCTCAGCACGCAGCAGCGTGAGTGCAGCTACCCGGAGGATGGGATCGGCTGAGCACGCCGACACAGGACAGAAAAGCCATCCGCGGTTCTTTGTTTCTACTCCCTCTCCTGTGAGGCAACGTGAAAAGACGGAAACTTACGTCCCACGTGGCCGCAAGGCTCAAGAGAACTGTGGAGGGCCCCACAGGGACAGGTCCCCGCCGACCCGCCAGGCCACAGCCAGGGCCAGGCACAAGCTATGACTCCAACCCGTCCACCTGTTCCCAAGGCCTCCGGACACTAGGGCTGCAACCCAGCTCCCGTCACGCGGGGATCAGCGAACAACCCCGAGTCAGCAACCATGAAGAAAAAGGGAGAAGAACCAAGGGGGTCCTCGGGAAGGGGTTGTCGGAAGCAGCGGCCTTTCTTCCCAGGGCCAGGCAGCAAGCAGCCGCCTCAAGCGCAGGCAGAGGACGTGGAGCCGAGCGCCTGGCCTGTGGGTCTGAAGCCTCACAAGGAGGACCAGGCCTGGCCTGGCCCCTGTCACCCCACAAATCCTCCCCTGGGTGCCCCGGGCTCGCCCCACTGCACACTGCATCGGGGGTCTAGCCACGGATCCAGGTGGGTCACCCCCCCCTCACACTGGAGCCCGGGCCCAGGTTCACCAGGGCCTAGGCGACCGAAAAGGGTGGGTGAGGCACCCTCCAGGCCCTGGACCTACCAGCCGCAGGCCCCAGCAGAGGCCCTTGGGGGGCGCTCAGGGTCTCCTGCGGGATCGTCTGGGCCAAGCGAGGGTCCCACCTCAGGGGCGGCCCCCAAGGCAGGAAGGGGCGTGGAGCCAGCTTCCGGGTGCCAGAGCAGGAGCTGGTTCAGAAGCACCACCAAGCGGAAGGGGCCGGCCGCGCGGTACTACAACAGCGCCGCCGTGCGTGAGTCCGCTGGTGGCTGGTTGTAGTGCACAACAATGAGCCACCGCACAGGTGTTGCAGGCCACCCACGCACAGCCACCACCCTATAGAAGCTCCTGAGCCTGTCACGCATGCGCCCGGATGAAGAATCGGCAGACATCTTCTCCTCCTGCGGAAGTAGGACGATGCGCCTCGTCTTTTCCCCGGCTCTGGAGGCTGGCGCGGGCGAAGTCGGGAGCTGCTGTGGAGACGTGGGGCTTCACTGGGGTGTGGGACCGGCGGCCACAAGCACGCCCCCAGCCCGTCCCACCTGGACACACCTCGAGGACACTGGCACCCCCCCAAGACCGGTCACCAGACACCTGGCGATCTATCTCTACCCCTGCCTCACAGGCGTGAGGGAGCCAAATCCCTGCTGATTCTCCATTGGGTTACCAAGGCCGCCCAGATGGAGCGGCTGAA